TAATATTCGACGTTTTTTCTGATGCTACGGTCGATTATTATTGCCAACATATCCTGTATAAATTGAAATATTTCATCGAATCTTGCATAACACTACAAAAACATGTAGCATAATATTCCTTTGGTTTTAATTTCGATCTAACATGATTTCAATTCCGGCAATCTCATTTGCGGCAAACACATATCTTATGTCGCAACAAGATTTGTTAATATTTTTTAATTAACTCAAATTTGTCCAATTAAAACTCCATTTACAACGGATGACAGTCAATGGACTTTCTCTGGACATAACTAATTTGCCGCCCACTTCATTTAGGGTGTGAGTTGGTTGCCTGGAGTAAATATCGGTGAGTGTGTGTGTTAGTTTGCCAAAAGGAAACTAAAACCCAAAATCAAAACATTTGAAATCTAAACCCGGCTTCGTAATTGCAACGAATTGAACAATTTACCATGAATGTGGGAGTGTGTGGACATGGAACATGTTCGGCACCATGTGAATGAAACAAAACCAGTCCAGTCCAACCGGCAACAAAAAAAAATGAAAAGAAAATATGTCATGTTTTGAAGCCAAACTGCCATAAACATTAACAACAATCTAAATTTGTATATTTGCAGTTCGCCGTTGCTATTTTTAATTTCTTCATTTTTTACGTCAAAGGAAGCCAACTCGAACATTGAATCAAATCAGTAATGAACAATTTGGAGCATTTCTTTTAATTGCTTTGTTGATTAAAAAAAACAAACAAACTACCTCAAATCGTTTAACTCAAAATGGAAATGTATCAGAAAATCATAAATTTCTGTTTTATTTGAAAAAAAAAAAAACGAAACTCCACATGGACGTGTTTGTTTTTATAATAAATTTGCTAATGGCTCTAGTTTTTTTCTTGTATGGCGAAAAAAAAACACAAAATATTGCAACGAAAATTGTGTAAATTTTATTTTATCCAACAGTGACTGCCTGCTGGTTTTCAAGTCTTAAATCGTTAGTCCGAAGAAAAAAAAAACAAACTCACTTTTTGTCAAACAATTATCGAAAACAATTTAGAGCGTAGATTTCTTTATGACACCGATGACATCGTAATCAAATGGTAAATTGAATTTATATGATGCAATAACAAAATTGTAAAATACAGTGGAACCAAACTTTTGCAAGCCAAATTTGATACTAATATACACAAAATAAAAAAAAATTAAAAATATGCTCAATTGCTATACCCTCAAGGTATAAATTAGATATTGTCGGCTTCCTTTCATAAAACACCAATCAAATCCACGTTTCTTCTTCTTAAAAAATCGATGCCTCTTTTTTAGGTTCCTTGAAAAAAAAATTTAAAAAGACCCACGTTCCTTCTTATGAATTCCCTAGAGAATCTATAAAAGTAGTAAAAAAATGCAAGTTTGTTAGTCTTTAAAATCTTAAAAAGATGGCTTTTGGTCCTTGAAAAAAGTTCTTTAAAAAATCAAGGACTATTGTTATATTGGTCCTTGCAAAAATTCTTTAAAAAGTCAATTTCTTCAAAAACAATCCTTAAAAAATCTACGTTCATTAGTTTTTTGGACTTTGAAAACATTTTTTAAAAAATCTCCTTTTTTAGTTTTTTAGCCATTTAAAAAATGTATTCCATATTTTTTTAAAAAACTCAGGTTTTATTGGTCTTTTGGTCCTTAAAAAAAGGTTTAAAAAATCGACTGTTATTGATAGTTGGATCTTTTAGGTCCTTCAGAAAAGTTCTTTAAAAAAAATCTTTAAAAAATCGACGTTTATTGATAATTTGATCTTTTAGGTCCTTGAAAAAAATCTTTAAAACACCCGTGTTTATTGTTTATGTTTAAGGTCCTTGAAAAAATTCTTTAAAAAAATCCACGTTTAATGATAGATTGAAAAAAAAATTAAAAAATCCGTGTTTATTGTTTATGTTCTTGGACCTTGAAAAAAGCTGTTCAAAAAATCCAAGTTTATTGATAGTCTGGTCCTTAAAAAAATTCTTAAAAAATCCATTTTTATTGATAGTTTAGTCCTAGAAAAAATTCTTTAAAAAAATCCATTTTTAGTCCTTGATTTTTTTTAAATCAATGTTTATTGATAGTTTGGTCCTTTAGGTCCTTCAAAAAAATTCTTTAAAAAAATCCGTGTTTATTGTTTATGTTTTAGGTCCTTGAAAAATGTTCTTCAAAAAAAAATCACGTTTATTGATAGTCTGGTCCTTTAGGTCCTTGGAAAAATTCTTTAAAAATCCATGTTTATTGATAGTTTGTTCCTTTAGATCCTTGAAAAAAGTTATTTATTGTTTATGTGTTAGGTAAGTTTATTGTTTATGTGTTAGGTGCTTGAAAAAAGTTCTTCAAAAAAATCCACGTTTATTGATAGCCTGGTCCTTTAGGTCCTTGAAAAAAAAAATTCTTAATAAAAAACTATGTTTATTGATAATCTGGTCCTTTGAGTCCTTCAAAAAAATTCTTTCTTTTATTTATATAATTTGGTCCTTTAGTCCTTGAATTTTTTTTAATTCTTGTTTATTCCTTTAGATCTTTGCAATAAGTTCTCTAAAAAATCCACGTGTATTGGCTTCCTGGTTCTTAAAAAAAGTCCTTTAAAAATCCATGTATATTGATAGTTTAATCTTTTAGGTCCTTGAAAAAGTTCTTTAAAAAATCCAAGTTTATTGAAAGTTTGGTCCTTTAGGTCTTTGAAAAAAATTCTTTAAAAAATCCATATTTATTGATAGTTTGTTCCTTTAGGTCCTTGAAAAAAAGTTCTTTCAAAAATGCACGTCCATTGATAGTTTGGCCCTTTAAAAAAAACTTTAAAAATTCAAAATGTATAGGCTTTTTGGTCCTTGAAAAAAAATCATTTAAAAATCCTTTGAAACCCACGTATCACATTAATGGGTTCCTTGAAAAATAGTCTTTAAAATTCCACGTTTAGCCCTGGAAAAAACTATTAGAAATTCATGTTTCACGTTCACGGGGTTCTTGAAAAATAGTATTTTAAAAATTCAGATTTTTTGGTCTTTTGGTCCTTGAAAAAATCCTTTAGAAATTAACATTTATTAATCTTTTAGTGCTTTACCAAAATTCTTAAAAAATCCACATTTATTGGCCCTTGAAAACAGTTCTTTAAAAAATCCCTGTCTATGGGTCTGCTTGTCCTAAAAAAATATCTTTTAAATATCCATACTTCTTGTACTTTTCATCCTGGAAAAAGTCTCTTTAAAAATCTTTTATTGGTCTTTTGGTCCTTGAAAAAATTTCTTAAAAAATCCTCGTTTCCTGTTCTTGGGATCCTTGAAAATGTCTTTAAAATTGGTATTTCTTGTTCTTGGGGTCTTTGAATTTTGTTTTTTAAGTCAAGGTTTATTGGTCTTTTGGTCCTTGAAAACAAAAATTCTTCAAAAATCCAAGATTCTTATTTTTAGGGTCCTTGAAAAAATTCAAAATTTCTTGTTCTTGGGGCACCTATTTTTTTGTTTTGCTTTTTTTAAACCATTTTTTTTCTAGAAAAACAATTTTAAAAAGTCCACGTTTCATGTTCGTGGAGTACTTGAAGAAAATTATAAAAAAAATCGGAATTTCTTATTTTTGGGGTCCTCGAAAAAAATCTTTAAAAAGTCCACGTTTCATGTTCACGGAGTCCTTGAAAAAATCATAAAAAATCGGAATTTCTGGTTCTTGGGGCCCTTGAAAAAATTCTTTAAAAAATCCACGTCAATTCGTCTTTTGGACATTGAAAACATTTCTTTAAAATACGAAGGCTAATTAATCTTGTGGCCCTTAAAAAAATTCTTTAAAGCTCCACTTTTCTAGTTCTTGGGGTCCTCGGAAAAAAATTCTTTAAAAAATCACAGTGTCTTCTTTTTGGAGCGGCTAAAAGTAAAAAAAAATCCCATTCTTAAAAAAACACATTTCTGTTTTAGGGATCCTTAAAAAAATTCTGTAAAAATCCTCGTCTCTTTTTAAGTCCCTGAAATAAATTTAAAACGTCAAAGTTTCTTGTTCTTACTAAAAAAATTATGTTTCTTTTACTTAAGGTCCTCGAAATTGTTTTTTTTTTTTTTTAATCCACGTTCATTCTATTGGGGTCTTTTAAAAAAAATCTTTCAAAATGTCACATTTATTCTTCTGGGTGTTTTTGAAAAAAAAATTTGAAAAGGAAAGTTGCTTCAAAGTACGAGATAGAAAACATCGGAAAAATGTTTGGATAAATACTTTAATAAATACACTTACCTTTTTCGAAATGCCAAATTAACACATGTTTCCCTTAATTTTGTAAAAATTTGTTTGATTTTTATTTAAAAAATATATATGTATAATAGTTTTTTTATAAAAATATTTTTGTATACCAAGAAATAAAAATAAATAAATAAAAAAATGGCTTTGATATTTGGGTTTTTTTCTTAAGAAATTTGAACTTAGTTGCTAATTATTTTCATGTTACATAAAAATATTTTTTTATTTTCAATTTTAAAATGTATATGAATTTATATACAAATGCTGGATGAGAGTTCTTATTTTTTGTATAATTCTTAAAAAATAGACGTTTAGTTTACAACACAGAAAACTACTGTACACTCATAATATATATAAAACACTTAATTAAATATTTTGTTTAAACAAGAGATTCTTATGTATATATAGTAAATTACATATTACATTTATAAATACATCGTTTGTTCGTTAAAATGGTGGTTGGCTACTTAAAAAAAAAACTATACACTGGGGTTATATAAATTAAGGCTCTTAATTAAGTTTTTGTTTTTTTTTTACTTTACATTCTCAAAATATTTTAAAATTACTGAAATTGAAGGCATTTTATCAGGACCAATATTTTAAACTACATATTGTGGGGGTTTCAGGTCATAGTATGGACAAAAAAAAATTGGCCTGTGTATGTGTTGACCAAAATAATAAAGAACATTTTTTTTTAAGGCTTTCCTTTTCACTGCAAATTTCAGATCATTAAGCTCGTCTCGAAAGAGAAAACAAACACATTTTTTTTTAAGTTTTGTAAAAAATAAATAAAAACTAAACTGTATTTATTTAAAGCCTCTACTACTTAAACTATTGCATTTCTAGGAAAGGGGGAAAGGCAAAAAAGAGATTTGTGTTTGTTTTTATTCATCTGTCTAACATAAAACTTAATTTAAAATACATTTACTTAATTATAATAAATAATGCAATCAAATGCAGACACTGGTTGTAATAAATATTTCTCTTTTTTTCGAAAACAAAATTCATGGAAAGTAAGAACAAACGTTTTCTTTTACCAAAGCTTTTTCTCTCTTTATGTGTGTGCGAGAGAGAGAGAAAAATCACTAGTAAAGCTATATCACAAAAGTTCCTTTCTCCAAAGTGGGTTAAGGAAAAAATGTTGGCTCTCGTTTCGATTTCTTGGAAAATTTTACATTTTTACAGCTTTTGTGATTTTGTGAAGCTTTCTTGGATTTAAGCGTATTTCTTTTGTTGTTGTTTCGCATATGTATTTGCATGATTGTTTTTTGTTTAATATTTTAAGTATATGGCAGTTGATTTTTGTTTTTAGTATGGCATCACATTTTATACGACCTTCATTCTCCACCCTCTTCTCCATCTTCTACTTCTCCTTATAATACTCTTTGGGCGTTAGGATTTTCGTTTTGTGAACTCAGCTTTCTAAATTCCCCGTTACCAGGCATTCACTGAGCAAAACATTGTGCAGGGCATCCATATCCACCCAATCTCGCCGTTCGTTTCGTATGGACACATTTCGTATGCAACCTTTAAAGTTTTCACGGGATAATAGGGAACCGCTGGAGGCCACGTCTGAAAGAAAAAGAGATATATCTTATATTTTAAAATATCCAAAAAATTGTTTTCCGTCTTCTCAAATCCTTCTAGTAGACTTAACGGGCAGACTATTTCTGCTAGTACATAATGACCCCTTACATCCTGGAACTATCGTATTTTTAAGAACCATCTACCAAATCTTCTTAAATACCAAAATTGAAACAAATTCGTGGATATTTGTGACTAGGTTTATCAAAATACCGAATATAGGTGAGTATCGTTATATGTGCGTTATAGAAAAACGTGGACCTGAATTTTCAATATTGTGTCGCCGGAGCTAGCCCATTATGAAGTATAAATACCAATTTGTAGACAAATCCATGGAAAAAATGTGGCAAAAATAATCAAAATACTGAATATCCGGAGCTAGAACCCATTACGGGCTTATATATACCATGTTCCGCCATCGCAAACTATAAATACCTATTTTTAAACAAAACTATGAAAAAATGTGGCAAAAACCACCAAAATAATGTCAACCATTCAAAACACAATACAAATTGTTCTGTCAAATTTCTACCGTTGTATAGAGATTATACGATATCGTGGACCTATATAGACACTTTTCTTTCAGGGTGTAAAGTACTTACAAACAAATCCTTGTGTGGATTTTAGACAATTCCATGAAAAAATCTGGCTAAAATCATCAAAATACCAAATATCGGGGGTACAAATACAGCCCATTTTCTATCTTGACCTGCCTGCAATCAAAATAGTGATCTTGCAAAATTTTAGCTCCTATTTTAATTCGTTTTGACTCTATCGTGATTAAAACAGACATACAGGGCTAAGGCTCCTTAGAATTTTACGCTGCTGAGAAATATACAGGGCGAGATGAAAAAATCGCAACCAACTTCAGCTGTTAAAATTATTCCAGTAGGACAGGTCATTATATTGTTTACAGGCGCACAAAAGCATTTTGGTGAGAATTTTCCAGAAAAAAGTTATTCGTGATGGAATTCAAGCGTGATAGTGTGATTCCGTTAAAATTGACCGCAAAACCACAAGTGACTATCGTTAGAGAACTCCAACATTTAAATGTGAATAAATCTTTTGTGTCTCGTACCATCGCTCGTTACCGTGATACTGGTAGCGTAGCCCGACGTCAAGGAAATGGACGGAAGGAAACAGCCACCTCAGCAGAAATGGTTCGAAAAGTAAGGAAGCGACTTGATCGAAGCCCGCGTCGCAGTGGCCGAAAATGCCCGAAAAATGGCTTGTGAGCTGAACATATCGCAATATTCCATTCGGAAAATATTGAAAAATGAGCTCGGGGTAAGGCCATTGAAATTCCAAAAAGTGCAAGAACTTACACCGCAACAGAAAGAAAAATCAAAAGAGCTAAAGAGTTGCTTCGCTTGGCCGAAAGTGGTGAACTGCCGAATTTGGTTTTCTCCAATGAGAAAACATTCGTTGTCCAGCAGTTTGTAAACAAACAAATGATCGATCGTGTTTACTTGCCAAAGAGGTCAGGTGAAAATGTGCACCCTTGCTTGGCCACCAGAACTCAAGCGCTGGCCATGGTGATGGTGTGGGCCGCCATAACAGCCGATGGTCTGTAGGGTGTAGTAAAGCATTGGTCACACAAACATTTTGGTCGCAGACCTTGGACAACAGGACTCAACACCATCGCTCTCAGCACGCGCCACCCAAAAATGGTTACAAAATGAGTTTCCTTGCTTCATTTCCAGCGCACAATGGCCACCAAAATCTCCGGATACCAGTCCGTTTGGCTATTGTGTCTGGAGTACTTTGGAAAGCAAGGTTGGCACTAAAAACACCAAAATGTCGATCACCTCAAGCAAGCGCTTCGCCGGAAATGGGCCAAAATACCTCAGAGCAACATTCGGGCAGCGTGTGACGGTTTCATTCGCCGTTTGAAGGCCATAATTCGTGCCAAAGTAGACCAATTCGAACAAATCTTAACTTATCTAAAATGTGATGCTATTTCCGACATTTTTTATGGCTTTTGACTTTGTTGCAGTTTTTTCTCTCATTCTGTAAGGGTACCTCCCTATATTCGGTGTTTTGATGATTTTAGCGACCTTATTTACCGGAATTTTTTTAAATGTTATATTTGATGTCCGTAATGGATACTACAGCCTAAGACAGACATTTTTTTGTGCAGGTCCCCGTCTTCTTGTAGCCCCCATATAACGGCATCTCCCGATATTCGATATTTTGATGATTTTAGCGACATTATTCACCGGAATGGTTTCAAACTTGGTATTTGAAATTTGTAATGAATAGTACAGCCTAAGACAGGAAATTGTATGTGCGGATCCACATTTTGGTATAGCCACCATACAACGGTGCCTTCCTATATTCGGTATTTTAATGATTTTAGCTACATTATTCCCCGAATGGCTTATGACAAAAGTTGCCTATGCAGGTCCACATCGTCGTATAGACCCTAATATAACGGCTACATTCGGTATTTTTAAAATCTCAATAGAATTTTTAAGTTTTTTTTTTCAATTGCCAAATTCGTTTCAAATGGTGGAGGTTATTAAAAGTTCGGCCCGGCAGAACTTACAGCTTTTTTACTTGTTTTATATATTCTCTATTAATTGTTTATTGATGTAACGTCTATACGTGCCGGACACAACACAGTGTTTACTTAGGTTGTTTATAAAGAAAATTTTGTCTTACCTGGTATTCCTCCTATATAGAGCGGTGATTTGGTCTGTACCTTGCCAACCGTTCTCTGTTGGGCAACAGCAATTGTGGCTGGCATTTGGTCGATTCTCAGGGCAATTTGTTCGTAGTCATATAAAGCAGAAATATTATGCCACTTGTTGTCACACAAGGCATATTTTGTGGGCAACAGCGATTCCACGCGGAAGGGATTGCCATCGCCCAGGTCACAAGAGAAAATAATCTAATTAAAAAAAAAGAAATGAAATAAAAACAAAGAAAAAGAAAATAATTCAAGAAATAAATAAAATAAATTTAAAAATGAATATAAAATTTAATATTATTTTTTTTTAGGTGCGTGGCCGAAATTTCTGATGTGGAACTTTTTATTTTATCATTGAGGTAAGTTTTTATTATTAATGTCTTAAAATTTAACCCTGACTAAACCATAATGAGAATTTAAATTACTTACATTTCCATTAAATAATTCCAAAGACAGAGCCGGAAAGCCGGTAGGTTCCGATATACTCAGCAGTATTCCAGACAGCTCAGAAGTTCTAAATTCCATTTCCAATTCCAAATATTTTCCGACATGGAAATTTCGTTCTGCAAAGAAGGTTATACAAAACATAAGTATTTCCTCAGTCCCTCACACAAATGGTCTCCATATACTTACTATACACCGCATATGCATCTCCGGGGAAGTACGAACCCCTTTCGACATGCGGGAAACACTGGCCGACATGTAAATGCTTGCCCGGCTTAGCCAAATCTTGTGTATTATTGGCAATGGCAAATTTACGCAAACAGCCCTTAAACGGTTCAATACGCATCAGTAATTCCGAGGGCATTTTCGGTGGATTCTCGGGCAAACCACCGACAAACATAACATTCGAGGCGGATATCTTTTTCGGTATTTTCATTTGTGCGGATGTTTTCTGATCGGTTTTTCCAATTTCCACGGACATGGTCACCTTACGATCGGTACACATCAATGTTACATGATGCCATTCGCCATCATTCAATTTGGCATGCAAGGGCAACTCTTCACGACGTCTACCTCTTACAATCAATAAAAGATGACCATCTTTCAATACGAGAGCGAGATAATGTTTTTGCTTATCTTTCATACCGGGTGCCATGAATATCAAACCATTCGGATAGAAGGAACGAAAATCGAATGAAATTTGGAAATTCTTTTGCCAGTAATAACGCATGGGGGTCTGTAGCTGGGCATAGCTGTAGGGTTCGTCGCCAAATTTAAAAGCATTCGGTTCGTAGGAATAGCTGCCAACCTAATGGATAGGAAAATAATAGAAAATAGTAATATTTGGAGATCGAGAAAGAAAGAAGAAAGCAGAAACAGCAACAACAAAAATCTAGGAGAACATTCAGAAACTACATTTCAGCAAAAAATGCCATCCCTCCCATAATAGCGTATTTATAGTTCGTCTAGCACAGAAATGTTGTGAAATGTAATAGTTTCTATAGAAAATATTTTGAAACGTAATATTTCTTCTAAAAAATCATAACAGACTATTTTCTATAAAAAAATGTGGAACATAATATTTTCTATAGAAAATCTTGTGGAACATAATATTTTCTATAGAAAATCTTGTGGAACATAATATTTTCTATAGAAAATCTTGTGGAACATGATTTTTTCTATAGAAAATCTTGCGGAACCTAATATTTTCTATAGAAAATTTTGTGGAACATAGTATTTTCTATAGAAAATCTTGTGGAACTCACTATTTTCTATAGAAAATTTTGTGGAACATGATATTTTCTATAGAAAATTTTTTGGAACACATTATTTTCTATAGAAAATCTTGTGGAACACATTATTTTCTATAGAAAATCTTGTGGAACACATTAGTTTCTATAGAAAATCTTGTGGAACACATTAGTTTCTATAGAAAATCTTGTGGAACACATTAGTTTCTATAGAAAATCTTGTGGAACACATTAGTTTCTATAGAAAATCTTGTGGAACACATTAGTTTCTATAGAAAATCTTGTGGAACACATTAGTTTCTATTGAAAATCTTGTGGAACACATTAGTTTCTATAGAAAATCTTGTGGAACACATTAGTTTCTATAGAAAATCTTGTGGAACACATTAGTTTCTATAGAAAATCTTGTGGAACACATTAGTTTCTATAGAAAATCTTGTGGAACACATTAGTTTCTATAGAAAATCTTGTGGAACACATTAGTTTCTATAGAAAATCTTGTGGAACACATTAGTTTCTATAGAAAATCTTGTGGAACACATTAGTTTCTATAGAAAATCTTGTGGAACACATTAGTTTCTATAGAAAATCTTGTGGAACATGATTTCTTCTATAGAAAATCTTGTGGAGCACATTATTTTCTATAGAAAATCTTGTGGAACACATTATTTTCTATAGAAAATCTTGTGGAACACATTATTTTCTATAGAAAATGTTGTGGAACACATTATTTTCTATAGAAAATCTTGTGGAACACATTATTTTTTATAGAAAATCTTGTGGAACATATTATTTTTTATAGAAAATCTTGTGGAACACATTATTTTCTATAGAAAATCTTGTGGAACACATTATTTTCTATAGAAAATCTTGTGGAACACATTATTTTCTATAGAAAATCTTGTGGAACACATTATTTTCTATAGAAAATCTTGTGGAACACATTATTTTCTATAGAAAATCTTGTGGAACACATTATTTTCTATAGAAAATCTTGTGGAACACATTATTTTCTATAGAAAATCTTGTGGAACCTAATATTTTCTATAGAAAATCTTGTGGAACCTAATATTTTCTATAGGAAATCTTGTGGTACCTAATATTTTCTATAGAAAATCTTGTGGAACCTAACATTTTCTATAGAAAATCTTGTGGAACATAATATTTTCTATAGAAAATCTTGTGGAACATAATATTTTCTATAGAAAATCTTGTGGAACATAATATTTTCTATAGAAAATCTTGTGGAACATAATATTTTCTATAGAAAATCTTGTGGAACATAATATTTTCTATAGAAAATCTTGTGAAACATAATATTTTCTATAGAAAATCTTGTGGAACACATTATTTTCTACAAAAAATCTTGTGGAACATAATATTTTCTATGGAAAATATTTTGGAATACAATATTTCCTATAGACAATTTTGTGGAACTTAATTTTTTCCATAGAAAATTTTGGGGAACTTGTGTTATTCTGTTGAGTATACGATTTGTTGTTCAAATAGTATTGTGGAATATGACATTTTCTACTATCTGTCCTCTAGAGAACTTCTTCTTAGTCTAGGTGATTTGGTTTGAGGTTTTCTGATTTTATTTTCCTTAAAGCTTTTTCACAGAAATTTTGAGGTTATGTGCATTTTGTTATTGTTATTTGTTATTAATGTGCCCAAGACCTTAATGGAGGGGGGTTACACTTTAGACCAACACTGATTTTTGTGTGATAGATAACACTTGCATAAAAGCTTTCCCAAAATCCAAAGTTGAAGGTTTTTTGTGTTAAGTACTTACTGTCACAAAGCTTTTGTGCTTTTTTCTGGTTATGATTGATTAAAAATGCCAAATATCGAGGGTTAATTTTGAAATAAAACCATGATGATTTTTATTTTGTTTTTGTTAAATATATAAAAGCTTTATTTTTAAATTAAACCAAAAAAGATGTAATGATGATTAGCAAATTAATAATTAATTAAAAATAAATTTAGCCAAATTCCAATGAATGAAATGAATGATGTGATCACTTAATGAATAGTGAGATTTTACAAAAACAAATTTAAAAATTATAAATATGAAAGCTTTTAGACGACATACTACACAAAAAGCAATGATGATTAAGAAGTGATGTGAGTTGTGTTGTGTTGATTGAAAAAAAAAACTTAAAAATAGTTTTAATATTTACAATTTGCAATGATGTGTGTTTTAATAACATTTTCTTAACTTTTTGTTTTTGTTTAACCAATACCAATGTTATGCCACCCCCCGGGAGGGGTGTAAAAGTCTTATGAGTAGTTATTATTGCCAAATGTTTATGTAAATTATCCTTAACAATTAGAGCTTAATTGGTATTACATTTAAATTATTATTATTTGGTTTTAGTCCTGAATGCGATGACCCTTTTCTATGGCGAGAATATATTCGAAAGGGTTAAAAAGTTTTTGATTTATGGCAATTAGTAGCATATTTCTGACTTTCAGCTTAAAGCTTAGAGCTTTATTTTATTCGAGCGCTTGCACGCGTTTGTGCGATTTTAGGCGAGTGTGGGTGGGGGTGTTTCTTATTTTAGATTTAAAAACATAACTTAACAACTAAAATCCTATAAAAAAGAAATTAAAAACAATTTAATAAATATTTACATGCAAAATTAGACCAATATTTAAAAAAGCTCTTTGATAGCTTAAGGCTTTCAAAATAATATAAAAATTAAAAATCAAGTCCCTTCCCCTTAGGTTTGTTTAAAATTAAAGTTTCTCACTTACCCTTTTGCATCCTTCGGGAGCTGCCGTAAAGCTTTTGCCGATCATGGGCTCAGTTTTCATTAGTATGTCACTCAAGCCATTGACACTACCCATGGCCGGGCCATTACGTCCGATTTGTACATTGACAAAGGATAGAGCTTGATTAAAGTTCACCGTTCGATTATTGAAGACAACATCTCGTATCGCTCCTTCCAGTTTATTAAATGTTGGCGCCAATGGTGTAAACTCATCATAGCTTGGTGCACCCCCAATATACAGACCACCAGCATCTCGAGGCATACTGACCATCGTTGGGGTGCCCATGAGATTTTTGCTCTCTTGTAATTCATCGTCGACCATTAGCTCAAGTTTGCGTCCGTTTTTCAACAAATTAACCACATGGAATTCGCCATCGTTGAGGGAAACATTCGACTTCAATTTCACCATACTTCGTCCCGAATTGACCCATACTTGGAGATGGCCATCAACAAGTGATATGGAATAGTTGCCTTTAATATCTTTGGCATCGTAGTCCTCCTCGACTTCGGGAGGATATGCGGAGAGCATGAGTAGGCAGTCATTTTGTAGGGTACGGAACACAAAGCCAGCATTGGCCCGTTTGCGCAGCGACTGGGCCGGAAGTTCAATATAGCCTTGACCCCTGAAACCGGCCCTGGGAGAGAAGATTGAGGGCAAGAAGAAAAAAATTAGAGAATAATAAAACAAATAAGAAGCAATCAAAGGGGTTCTTCGATAAAATTGTAATCCCAGGGTTACTACATCTCCCCAAAATGAACGTTTTTCAAAACCATTTTCGAAATTAAATACTGGACTAAAGTCCAATACTGGTCTCATAAAGTCATTTTTTATATTTAGGATTTTTTTCGTAGTTAACATTTATGGTGGCGGAGCCAGCAGAAGTGGTCTGATATAGTCTAGATTGTCTTGAATTTTATAGCAAAATTTCACTACGAGTTCTCAAAAATTTTAGGAACCAAGGTTCGAAATTAAAATGTTTTTAAAGATTTCTAGAAGAGGCCATGACTCCGAAAAAAATCCTCAGGTCTTCAAAATTTCCAAAAAAATATTTAAAAAACTCATACTCACTTCGTTATCATCTCCTTGCACGACGACTCGACACCGTAATGCGTTGAACCCTCCAACGGATCATAGGTCTCACCATTGACCTGGACATCCATCATGCAACCCAAGAAGGGGTTATCAGCTCCCGGAGCCTTGGAAGTAGCCGATGTGAAACCAGGTGGCACACCACCCAAATAATATACAGCCTTCGATAGATCTGGCAACATGTTGCTCTTAATGGGTACCGTTGGCGAGCCCGTTATTGGACGATCTGTATTAACACGTAAAATGCCATTTTCCGTACCACGTTTGGGCACAAATTCTCGGGCAGCCTCAATTTTGACCCATTTTCCAGTGTTGTATTTGTTGGTGGTATTTATTTCCAATTTCGATTCATCACCATAGTCAATGCGGAACATAATGCGACCACGACTCAAGGTAACTGATACCGAGCGGTTCTAAGGGATAAAGGGAAGAAATTGGGAAAAAGGAATTATAAAACAAAAATATTTGAAGGATAGTGTCCTTAAACTTACATTCTTATCATCCACCGCCAGGAAAAGCAAAGCATTCTCATCCAAAGTCTTAAAGGTCATTTGCAAGGCAAACAAATTCTTGCGATATGGCCGTGGTCGTGATTTCTTTACCTCCGCATAGCCTAGACCATTAAAGTGTCGGGCCACCGATGATGAACTGGATTCCTGGGCCCCAATCATGGCTCCACCACACTTGCCCTCACTGGAGGCGAAATTCCACAAACCCAAAGGACGATTGTCCACCTCCACATTATGTACCACCACATTTAGGCCAGGACTCAATTGTAAATCTTTGGTCCTCAACACCTTGGGATAGCCACCCAAATAAATACGATCTTCAGCCGTTTGGAAAAATCTCGTAAATTCCACATCAGTACTGCCGGTGACAGGAGTTTGGGGCACCAAGGACCCATAGTTATTCATGCGCCTCACCAGTAAACTTCCAATATTTAGAGTGCGATTTACCTCCACATGATACCAGGCATCATCGTATTGGGGATCCCTTGTCTGAATTTCCAAGGGGTGAGTAATAATTTCCGTGGTGCCACCCAAATTCCACAGAAGTCGTACATGGCGTTTAAACAGATCCAAGGCAATATAACGATCATCGGATCCTTGTATATAAAGCAGGGGTGAGTTGCCATTCCTGTTGGCCAGGGCAAAACTTATTTTGATGCTATTCGAGGTGGTTAGCCCATAGGAGGCCGGCAGATAAGATCTCAAACATTTTGGTCCCACTGATTGCAGTGAAATCCTAATACCCTCCGCCGCATGTTTGGCTTTGGTAATTTGATCGCGCAGCTCCTGCAGTTGTTTGGACATGGAATTATTCCAAATATCAAATTCTGTTTGTTCCTTGATGGCCTGTTCCTCCACATAGGTAAGGGAAATATTGGCCAAGCGTACATTGGTCTTCGTCAGCGAAATATTTTCCTCTGCCATACCCAATTTGATTTCCCAATCAGGTTCCAGAATTGCAAATTTTTCTCTTAGTTTTCGTATGTCATCGTGTACTTCTTGGGTCTTGTAGGTCAGTGATTTCATTTCATCACTGGTCTTTGAGGCCATGTCCATACTTTCAATGGCATTTTTCCGCGAGGTGGTATGTTGCATGGACGGAATTATGGTGGATATATTGTTGGTTTTGATGCCAGCCTCCATTATGTGTGATTTGATGGACTCGACCTTATTCTCGTGGAATTTTAATCGTTTCTCTAGAACTGGGTGGGGAAGGGGTAGAAGGGGTTAAAAAGGGGATTTTATTGATTGCATTTTTTTAAAGGCGTAAACTAGCCTAAGGGAACTTATGAGAGTTGCCAACTAATTGTTCAATCGTTAAAAATTATGCCGCTCAGATTTGTAGCTCTATTGTGGTTATATCATTCAGTGTAGGAACTTACCTTCTGTATCTTGAATTTTATTCATGGCCTGCTTCTTCAAGAGATTTGAATTGTGCAGCGATAAACGGGCCCTATCTATGACAGATAGTCCCATGCGAGGATATAACTTATGATGGGCAGCATATACACGTTCCCTGGCCTCTCTGGAGGCCAAATGGGCTGCTTCGATGGCATCGGAAATGTTTTTGTGGGCCGAACTATATTCGAAATGGAAATTAAATATAAAACATTTATTAATTTTGATGTCTGGAGATCTGGGCATATAAGTCAGGTCACTCAGTACACTTTTGAATAAAACATATAACTGATTTCAAATTTATTTTGAAATTAAGTCAAGGTACCAACTGATCGACCATTTTACAGGTCAACAATGAATTTGGAGCTCCCTATATTATCATTATTTTCTTTGAACTAACTTACCTTGCCAACATTGCAATCCTTGCCCCCTGCCGGGTCGGCTGAAATTGTCTGGCATATTCATTGGATCTTTCCAGCAGCCTGGCGGCATGTTTCTGAGCCTTGGGCAGCCAATGTTTTCTCACCTCACGATGCACCGCCTCATTATTATCCAACGTTGAATTCAACAAGGTCGACTGACGTGTTATTGTATCCACCTTTCCACTCAATTCCTCTAATTTCGCAACATTCAACTCCACAAGGACATCTGTCTGAGGTATTAAAATCTCCTTCAACGTCTCCTCTACCAATTTCTTTTGATCTCGTATCTGTTGATAATCTTCCAGAGTATAACTTTTCAAATTTCTTATATGCTCCAGAACATCTTCAATTTCATTTTGCATTTCCACCGTACGATCGGCATGCAGACGCATATCCGAGATGCGATAATTCGAATGATTTAAATCACGCCAAAACATTTCAATTTTACCCTTTTGATCGTAGGCCAAGTCGGAGGCATTGCCAAATTTATAGAAATAATGCCAGGCACAGGTGGCCGCGGAGCGTATCTCATTCAGCGAATCACGATGTTGAGTAATTGAGTCCAAATAAAATCTGGCCTGTTGCAGGGCAGAGGGTAAACTCAGGTGGTGGGCCCCTCTGCCATAGTTATCCAGGGTGGCAATGTTTTCCAGTATCCCTGATTTAATTGAATCCAAATCTAAATACAGCTGTGAGGCATCTTGTACCAAGACGGCCATGGCAAAGGTCCTTTTCTCGGCCGTTGCCAAGGCTTTGCGATTTTGGAATTTTTGATTTTCCGCATGGGAATCAAGTTTCAGCAGGGCATTATTGTCATAATTTACCAGCAGCTTGCGGGCCTCGTTGAAATCCGTATAATGGCGATTTTGTAGCTCAAATTGTTGTTCATATTCCTCCACCTTGACATAGGGTGGGGGTATACCCGTCAAATCCATGTTGTGAACACCTCTTCTCAGTTTATGGCCAATCAGTTCCACATAGTCCAGTAACAATAAGGTGCAGTTGTCACACACTAAGCGAGTATTTCAAATTTATTTTCCAATTCAAAAACAAAATTCCAACAAAAAAAACTTACATCGACAACCCTTCTCCTCCAAATGATGGCGTTCTGCCAGACATTTATCACACTTGAGTCCCGTCACCCCTGCCTGACAATAGCATTGACCTGTCAAGGAATCACAACCCTCCTGCCGTATGCCATAGGGATTACACTTGCAGGGCTTACACACCCCACCGAGGGAGGACAAAGGATTGCCATAGTAACCAGGACGACATTGATCACACAATTTGCCCATATAGCCGGGGCGACAAACACAATTGACCTCACCCTGCCACACAGAACAACCTTTGGCAAAGTTGCGGCTGGTTTCAGGGCAAGGGCAAGCCTGACAGCCATAGGCTGAATTCGGGTCACCATAAAAGCCCTCGGCGCACTGTTCACAATGGCGGCCGCCAGAGTTTTCACGACAATTCTAAAAGAACGGGAACAACATAAAGTCAGATCCTTTCCAGGGAAAATATCGCCTTTAACCCTCATCCTGTGTTCACGGGTCACAATTGCTCAACAAATTTGAATCGTTAAAATTTATAATTTTTTATTTGATATTTCGATTTCTATGTGTGGAACTATAATTTGATTTGAATTTTTAAGTAAAAGTGTCGGACGTATATCTAGGGTCCACCAAGTCCTATTTTAAATAAAAAATTCTATTGTCCTGTTTTCCTCGTGGGAACCTGGATAAATGCAATTTGGGGTAAATTTTTTTCAGTATAAGTTTTTGTAGAAATATTTTGAAATTCTAGCAATACTCTAAACGCCATATTCCGGAAACATGTCAGAATTTTTCGGAAGAAAAAAATTCTAAGAATACTTTAACGCAAAGAAGCCTTCTATGTTCCATAGATAACTTCTATTTTTGAAAAAATTGACACCCAATAAAAAATTCAAAACCCTTTTTCTTCGAATACAGGATGAGGGTTAAATTCTAAAAGCGTGAAACCCACCAAGCACTCTCCCGTTTCCCGATCACATTCATTGCTACGTCCATTGCAGTTACACGGGGCGGCACGTCCAATTAACTCCTCAATGTAAATTGTCTCGGTTTCGGTTATATTACGCCACCTATAAAATCCCTGGCCCGGATCCTGGCACGAAAGACCATCATAACGTTTGGGACATTTACATTTCTCCACACCCTTGGCAATCATGTTCGTGGAGCCATGGACATAAATTGCCGAATCCATGTGGACATTTTGTAAACTGGAATTTTTGAAAAAAAAAAAAATAATCGAATCCATCACCCTTATTTTCCAGCTACTTACATGACCTCGGTGAAATCCGCAAAGCACGAACCTCGTATAAAAATATGCCTTATATTCTGCAGGGCTGCCATCATTGTACTCCTATCCACGGCCTGGCCACTTTTGTGGAATTTCCAATAGGATTCATGCAAGGGCACGCGATACGTCTCATTTCTTGAATATTCAAATGTTTCGTATTCATAGAAATCCAAAATCATTTTTGTGTGGGCATGCAGCTGGACCAAGGGATAACGTGAAAGAGTCTTGCGATCCAACGGTGTCGAACCACCCTCAGTGAGTAGGGTGAAATATAAATTACCCCCATAACTGTTGATGCGATCACCATAAAAGTGTGGAGGCAATTGGAAGTACAAGGGATAATAGAGATGGGTATACGACCCAATTGTCACATTTCCCGTTGAGCGCGGTATCAAATTCAAACCATACATATTTTGTATTTCGGCATCTTCGCGATAGGATTTTGAGTCCGACATTTGTACTACCACAGTATATTCAAATTCCCGATTTGTCACATGCGAGGGCCGTATATAATTTACCGTTAAGTTACGTGATTCTGACATTCGCACATGACCCCAAGACCAATCGGTCTGTTCACATTCCGTGGCCCGGCCGAAACAATAACATCTGGTGCAACCCTCCGGATTCAGGGCTGACAAACCAAAAGTCGACTGCATACAGGTATCACACTTCAGACCCACCACCAAACTTTTGCACGGACACTGGCCATTGGCATCACAGGCTATCAGGCCATCACTGCGCACGAATGAGCCGTCCACATCACAATTACAACGCCGACACTCGGGGTAGCCAAAATAACCCACAGCGCACGAATCACATCTTCGTCCGGTGTAACCTTCACGACATTGACACTGACCCGTTATGGTATGGCAATACTGGCCAATTGAACCCACACGATCACATTCGCATTCACGACAACCCAGCCGAGGTTGCCAACCCCATGTACCGCTAACACATTGACTGCAACCCAAACCACGACTAAACGGTGGGCACACACAACGACCATTGATGGGATCACACACTTGACCCTCACCCGGACAGGGGGCACAACGTTGACATCCATCCGTGGAGAAGCCAAAGAATCCATCGGTACACTCATTACACCTTTGACCACCCACTCCAATTTTGCAATCACACTGTCCTGTCCAGGGATTACATTCATGACTCCTTGAGCCTGAGGGGTCACAGCGACAGTCGTGGCAGCCAACATTTTGGGTGAGATTCCAATGGCCAGCTTTACATTTGTCACAACGCCGTCCCGTCACATTCGGCAGGCACATACATTGGCCGGAACGTTTGTCACAGGTATTTCCAATCGAACCCACAGGACTGCACTGGCATTCTGAAAAGGGAAGAAATTAAAGGATATTATTTAAAATGAAGAAAGGATGAATATTCTAACGCAAGTTTGAAAGTACGGAATATTTATGGGAATTTTTGTGGAAATTGACTCTTTATAGGAAATTTCATTAAAATTGACTCCCTATAGGAAATTTCGTCGAAATTGACTCTCTATAGGAAATTTGACTCTCTGTAGGAAATTTCGTCGAAATTTTACTCTCTGTAGGAAATTTCGTCGAAATTGACTCTCTGCAGGAAATTTGACTCTCTGTAGGAAATTTCGTCGAAATTGACTCTCTATAAGAAATTTTGTCAAAATTGCCCTTCTATAGGAAATTTCGTCGAAATTGCCCTTCTGTAGGAAATTTCGTCGAAATTGACTCTCTATAGGAAATTTCGTCGAAATTGACTCTCTATAGGAAATTTCGTCGAAATTGACTCTCTATAGGAAATTTTGTCGAAATTGTCTCTCTATAGGAAATTTCGTCGAAATTGTCTCTATAGAAAATTTCGTCGATATTGACTCTCGATAGGAAATTTCGTCAAAATTGACTCTCTATAGGAAATTTGACTCTCTGTAGGAAATTTCGTCGAAATTGACTCTCTGTAGGAAATTTCGTCGAAATTGACTCTCTATAGGAAATTTTGTCGAAATTGACTCTCTATAGGAAAATTGACTCTCTGTAGCAAATTTCGTCGAAATTGACTCTCTATAAGAAATTTCGTCAAAATTGCCCTTCTATAGGAAATTTCGTCGAAATTGCCCTTCTGTAGGAAATTTCGTCGAAATTGACTCTCTATAGAAAATTTCGTCGAAATTGACTCTCTATAGGAAATTTCGTCGAAATTGACTCTCTATAGGAAATTTCGTCGAAATTGTCTCTCTATAGAAAATTTCGTCGAAATTGACTCTCTATAGGAAATTTCGTCGAAATTGACTCTCTATAGGAAATTTCGTCGAAATTGACTCTCTATAGGAAATTTCGTCGAAATTGACTCTCTATAGAAAATTTCGTCGAAATTGACTCTCTATAGGAAATTTCGCCGAAATTTACTCTCTATAGGAAATTTCGTCGAAATTTACTCTCTGTAGGAAATTTTGTCGAAATTGCCTTTCTGTAGGAAATTTCGTCGAAATTGACTCTCCTTAGGAAATTTCGTCGAAATTGACTCTCTTTAGGAAATTTCGTCGAAATTGACTCTCTATAGGAAATTTCGTCGAAATTGACTCTCTATAGGAAATTTCGTCGAAATTGACTCTCTATAGGAAATTTCGTCGAAATTGACTCCCTATAGGCAATTTCGTCGAAATTGACTCGCTATAGGAAATTTCGTCGAAATTGACTCGCTATAGGAAATTTCGTCGAAATTGACTCGCTATAGGAAATTTCGTCGAAATTGACTCGCTATAGGAAATTTCGTCGAAATTGACTCGCTATAGGAAATTTCGTCGAAATTGACTCGCTATAGGAAATTTCGTCGAAATTGACTCGCTATAGGAAATTTCGTCGAAATTGACTCGCTATAGGAAATTTCGTCGAAATTGACTCGCTATAGGAAATTTCGTCGAAATTGACTCGCTATAGGAATTAATTTAGGAAATTCGTCGAAATTGACTCGCTATAGGAAATTTCGTCGAAATTGACTCGCTATAGGAAATTTCGTCGAAATTGACTCGCTATAGGAAATTTCGTCGAAATTGACTCGCTATAGGAAATTTCGTCGAAATTGACTCGCTATAGGAAATTTCGTCGAAATTGATTAGCTATAGGAAATTTCGTCGAAATTGATTAGCTATAGGAAATTTCGTCGAAATTGACTCTCTATAGGCAGTTTCGTCGAAATTGACACCCTATAGGCAGTTTCGTCGAAATTGACTCTCTATAGGAAATTTCGTCGAAATCGACTCTCTATAGGAAATTTCGTCAAAATTGCGTTTCTATAGAAAATGTTTTCGAAATTTTAGGATGTTTAAGGATTTGGTCAATCATTCCACCCTCCCCGTTCCCCTCAACCCATATCTTCAGGCAAAAGCGAAAGTCGTATACGTTTGGTTATTTGAAATTTGATATTTCTTCTGAGAATTTTTACACGTTCTCCGGCATGTTTCGTTTGGCCAGACAATGGCATCATGAGCTGTTTTGTGTGTTAAAAACAAATCACGTTTTTGACTTTACAAAGTCAAAGGAGACAACGACCAGCAATATATCCTCGGAACGAACAAAAAATATGTGGTACAAAGAGTATCGCATGATTTAAGTTACCAGTACACGGTTCGTGGCATTAAAACGACAAAACGGTTTTCGGATGCCCACAATACAGCAACGAAAAGGAAAATCGGCACAAGAGTCTGGAGTAAATAAATTTGCAGTGATCAACTTAAATTAATTTGCATATGACAACATTTTTTTCTTTTTGTCAACAACAGAAAAGACACGACCAAAAACGAGACAGGCAACAGGTACCACATCACGAGCACCATAAAAAAAAAAAGACGGACTGGGTCATAACTCAATTGCAGCTCTCGCAAAACAGCTTCACTTTATAAAGTGGCTGGTAGGCAGGCAGACAGGCTGTTTTTTGGTGTTTTGAAATTATGAATGAAAATATTTTTTCCTTGCAAATGATGGTGGTACCACACCAGACATCAAACTTGCAAGACGATGACTTTGCCATAATGAAGCCGGCTCCCTGCTTGAAAGAGGATCATATTGCCTGTCTTCAAGATAAATTTGAGGTGGACAGGGGACAAGCACAAGAAATTGACCAAAAAAGTGTGGGCGCTCTCTATGATAATAACATGCAAAGCAGTTTCATTTGAAATTTCCAGTCTCGTGGTCAAACCGGCCATTAAATTGTAAATTCGAAATTCATTCAACATTTTGACTGCAGTATGTACGTTGCATTTACAAACAATCAAAAAATTTTCGAAATGAATTTTCACAGATATTATTATTTTCTACAATTTTTTTAAGATAATGTAGATCAAGGCCTAGAATTGGGAAATTTAAAAAAAAATATATGGGATAAGGATAAGAAACATATGAAAACTTAGAATTATGAAAAACATTTTCTAGACCAAGGCCTAAAAACTTACATATATAAGAACAATCCCATAGGCTAAGGTGTAAACGGGATTTTTTACAGATTTTGTAGACCAAGCCCGTCGTGAATACCTCAAGAAAATTTCAGGTCCGAAACCTTAACAACGTGGACAAAAAATCAGTAAAGAAGGTCTCAAAGTCGACTTTATAATTCCCATGGCCATTGTGCGCTGGAAATGAAGCGAGGAACCTCAGTTTGTAACCATTATTGGGTGGCGCGTGCTGAGTGCGATGGTGCTGAGTCCTATTGGAATATCCAAGGTCTGCAACCAAATGTTTGCGTGCCCAAGGCCTTAATACACCCTCCAGAATATTTTCGCGATAATATTGGGCATTTATTCTGATGCCACGGTCGATTAATACGAGCGGAGAGCGATTATCGGTTGTTATGGTGGCCCACACCACCACCATGGCCGCTGCTTGAGTTCTGGTGGCCAACTGAAGGTGCACATTTTCAGCTGACCTCTTCGGCAAGTAAACACAATCACTTAGTTTGTTTACAAACAGCTGGACAACAAAAGTTTTCTTATCGGAAAAAAAAAACCAAATTCGGCAGTTCACCACTTTCGGCCAAGCGAAGCAACTCTTTACCTCTTTTGAGTCTATTTTCATTCTGTTGCGGTGTAAGTTCTTGCACGTTTTGGAATTTCAATGGCTTTACCCCGAACTCATTTCTCCATATTTGCCGAATGAATACCATCTGACCACCTAGCGGTATAGGGTATATAAATCTAGAGCCAAGACCTAATGTAAGAAAATATTGCGGGCCAAGATAAACGTGCGTGGTCGTGAGTTTTTTAAGAATATTAGGTAGACCGTGATATAAAACCATGGATTTTGGTATCAAGTCCTAATAATTTTTAAGGAAAATTTCGTAAAGCAGGACCCAAAAAAGTAGATATTTAAAACGTAGTTGACCTAAAAAAAAAAAGTTTATAAGACCTAGAGTTCAAACTTGGAATTTTAAAGAAATTGTAATCTATGGAATATACAAAAGAAGGTATTTTAAAAATATCACAGGACTTGAAAATTTTATTTAAAAATACCTCAAAATTCAAAAAACTTGGATTTAAGAAAAATGAAAATAAACCGTAAACCTTTAGCCCAAAAATAATCTACTCTTCCAAATCGGGCTTAGTATGACGTAGATTGAAAAAAAGCTCGCCATTTATCGTAAATTTCGTAAAGATTTATAATCACTTAAATCATTCATCGAATCGGAAAATTTTCCCCAGGACATTTCAAGTACACCCATACACTTTTTAAAAACGAAATATCTCCAAAATCCCTTGAAGCATAAAATCCAATAAGTAATTCATTTTAACAAGCTAACACCAAAAGCAAAATCAGGCCATTGGTACTTTTACCACACAAGCCGACCGCAAGAAACTCCAACCAACCAAACGACCGACGACCACACACACACACGCTCACACACCAGGTCATCACACTCAAAAATTAGATATTTTGTCTAGCGGTTTTTTTTTTTGGCCACCACTAAGACCACAAACTAATAACTCTATGCATGGGGAGATTATGCGATTGGCATAGCGAAAATGAAAAACCAAAAAAAAAAAAAAAATTGAGAAGAAAACGGAAACTTAAAATCGGAAAAACTGTAAAAACTATGAAATGTAAATAAAAGATCAAATTTAAATAAAAACGAAATGTACCCAACACGATTTGCAATGGTTGTTGGTTGTGGGTCGGCGCAGAAAAAAAAGCAAAAAACAACGGCTTTAAGTTGGCGTAAAATGACGCCTACATTTGCCGCACGACGACATACAGCTAACAAGAAATTCATTCATAAAACCCCAAGCCAACAACAACAGCAATTGTATGCGCACAAGAGGCAACAGCGCTTCAGTAAATAAGCAATTATGGTTTTACGAAGGCT